TACCTCTTTTTTTTTAATGATTCTTATAAAAAAATAAAATGAAATTAAAAAAAAAAAAAAAAATACTTTTTTTTTAATATGTATCTCTCTCTCTCTCTCTCTCTGTCTTTGACATGCAAGAACCATTAAACGCTTCTTGTTTTCTTAACCATTACGTAGGTATTACGTTTTCCATGAAAGGCAGTAATTTTTAAGTGCTTTATATATATTATGTAATAATAAAACTTTATATCGCATATAAATTTTGAACTTTGCAAAGAGAAAATGGTTGAGTCTGGTGACGACAGTTTTATATATATATTTACTTTTATATTTATGAAAACTTGTAACAATTCAGTGTAGCTTGCAATGCGTGCTTTTTGTTTTTCATTTTGCTTATAACACAAATTAACTCATTATCATGCACGTTTGTTTATAAAGCTTGTGTGTGTGTGTGTGTGTGTGTGTGTGTGAATATAAAAAATATAATATATTCATAAAATAATTTATAGGCAATTATTAATTAATGCAAATAAAAGGGTTATAATGACCTTAAAAATATTGCAGTTAATTAAGATAAATTAATCAATTTAATTAATATGAAGAATACTTGAAAAAAAAAAGAAGAATTATATATCATTATATGTGCATACATAAATCTGAGCCAGCAAATGTATGAAAATTAAAGATCTATTAAGACGGACAATCTTGATAGATATTTGCATCGTAGAACACTCTGATCCTACAGTTCGTACTGTAAGTTTCATATTTCATATATGTAATCGTAGGTCGTTACAAATTAAGCAAAGACACGAATAATGTTATTAGAGAATAATTTAACAAGAGTTATCCTCATCTTGGGGTAAATCCTCAATGCCCATCACGTCAAATTCAAAATAAAAAATTGCAAATTTTCATTAACTGGAAGGAGGAAGAAGGAGAGTTTCGTTTTTTTTCTTCACTTTGAGAAAGAGATTTAGAGTAAGTTCAAGCAGAGCAATCTTTGCTGTAGATTGCCATTAGTTAGAAGTTCAGGATGGGGTTTGCTCTAAAAAATACATTGTTTAGGTTGATGTCAGCAAAAGCCGGACAGCAGTTTTTACTTTTAATTGGTGCTTTGTGGGAGCAAAGTAATCATAAATAGGGAAGAGAGGAAAGAGATTGTATTGCGATTTCCTTATTGCCTTATTATTACCATGCAAATGACTTTAACTATAATAAACGCTAGTTGATAATGACAATGAAATAATTACATCATAGCTACACTATTCTAGGTCTCTAGTCCGACTTTGATATTCTTAACAGTTTTTCTGATTGTGACGGTGATAAGAACAAATGAAACCTAAAGGGACCCATCTATCGAGCAGGAAAGAAATCTAAATTTGATTTTCCTTTTATCACTGTTACGCCTATCTTTCTTCTTTCGAATACGTTAAGTCGATGTTTGTTGATTTTTTCTTTTGTAAATTTTTTTCTTTTTGGTAAATTGAAGCTATAATTTCCTTAAAAATAGTAAATCGCAGACGAAGATATTGTATGATAGAGTAGAGAGACGAGTGCCGTCATAAATAACAAATGAGGAGTGGAATTTGAGAAAAATTTCTTGAAAATGTCTTATTATAAACGTGATACGAAAAGTAAAATGAATTGGGTCAAAGAACCTATATTCTAATCAGAATAAAAAAAAAATGTGAAGCTAAAAAAAATTAAATGTTGGTTAACCGCTTCAACTCTAATTGAAGATGAAAGTCGGAGGGGTGTTAGGTCAGAATGGCCGACCTGTGGCAATCCTCTACGATAGAATAAAGAGTAAGTAAGAAAGCTATTTGCTACGACATATTTATTTATTTATTCCGAACAAATCCAATCTTAAGTTATTATAAACTACAAGCCATTTCATTAGAGGCCACAAATTCTAATAACGTTGAAAATAACGTTCGATTCGAAAGTCAAGAGAGACTGTTGCAAATGCAATCAGAAATTTAATAATTTCTTTAATTGTAGCATCGCTTTGTAGTTTGATATTTATATACAAAATTTGTATTATTATATGAATTAGCTATAAAAAGCAGCAGTGTGAATATATTAAAGAAAAAGAAAAAAAAAACCAGACAAGTTTCTCGCTTAAATCTTTTGTTTTTGAAAAGAGAATTTGTTTCAATGATTGAATTTTAAAATTTTAAAATTTTGTAAGAAATCTTATTAATAAAAAAGGCATAATACGTCGAACAATTGTTCTTATTTGATTGTATTATTATAGTTTCGTAGCCACTCAAGCGTGATATAAATACAAATTATTAACAAATTCTAGAGGACGTATTACTTTTTTCTAAATGTATCTGCAATTTTCTTTTCATTATCTTTAAACAGGTTGAAGGCTAAATCTGTAGACATAAAATAAGGCAAATAATTAAACGGCTTTAACAGAAACAAGATTTGAAAGTGTTTGTGTTTGCGAAATGTAAAAAATGTAAGAAATGTTGATTATTCTCCGATTAGTAATACGCTTAACATGTTAAATTGTTTTCTTCACGTGGTACTAATATAGCGTGTTTTGTAAAACATTATTAATTTGTTTTTTTTTTTTTTTGTTTCATTTTTCTTGTAGTTGGATAATAACTTTTACTTTTTAATACATGATTATTGCATTTTTCGTTTGAATTGTAGTGAAAAGCAATTTTAGGAAATCTTTAACGTAATTTTACACAACACTTTCATATGCCGTAAAGATTTAAATACAAATAAATAAAAAAAAAAAAAAATGTTTTCTCTTTTACTATAGATAGCTAAACAAGGCTGTAAGCAGCAAAGCATAACGAAAATAAAACATCTAATATGTAAAAAATAGAAAGAAAGAATATAAAAATATCTTACCGCCATCGTAAAAAGTTTTCTACTTATCTCTTTTCCTATTCATTAAAAGGTATGCTGTTGTCGTCATTTTAGTTGTATTGTCGAGAAATTAACAACTACTGCACTTATATGGGGGTGCTCCATAGTCTTTTCCCCGCGCACGCTATGTACGACCTCGAGCCCGCTGTGTTTGTAAACATACAGGCTTAGCTATTCTTCGTTTGTGGCGTCGATTTCAATACTGAAATCGATCACAGCTCTTTCAGAGTACGTTTTGTTGGTGACAAACTCTCTTTGAAAATCTTTTTCTGCGCCGTTTAATTGAATACTCAAGAGAAGCATTTGCGGCACGTTATGCTTCATTGCTTTACAAGAGGAAGTGGCGCAAAGGACACTGCAGAGGAGATTTGCACCGTTTTTGAAACCGACTATTAGAATCGTCCCTAATTGGTTTAAGAAATTTAGAGTTGGGTATTTTGTTTTGAGATATAAAGACCGCAGCGACCCGGCAACGGCGGATGCGGACCTCATCAAAAGTATGGTCGCTAAAGTTCGCGATATAGTGGGCGCGACATAGTGGATGCCGCTAACATTGCCTTTGTCTACTGCCTGAAAAAAAGGAAGAAACCTATGGGACACCCTAATATTAACATAATAGGTGGAGTGATTCATATATAAATAAAACAAATCAATACAACAAGACAAACCCTCCTTCCTGACTTTGTTTCTACCTGATCACTAGGCTGCTCTCACGTACAGGGGAAATCGCTTGAATAACTGCTCAAAGATGCAGAAGAAGAAACCGAAGAAAATCGCTGTCGAAATGAATTTTGAAATGTCGCCTTCCGCTTATTGAAATTATGTGAATCAGAAACGTTGAAATTATCGATTACATATAATTTTCTGTAGCGGGATACACGCGCGAACAACGCTTCAATTTTTTTCTTTTTTTATGAATATTTGAATATATTGGAAGCGCAGTTTTTTATGCAAGCCTATCAGTAAATGTACAAACAATTAACCTGTGAGATACCCTACGAATCCTATTCATCGACTAGATCCCAAAGCCAACGCATTTGTCCACGTTCAATATAGGTTGAATTTTTTTTTTTTTACAAGAGAAATATATTAGAATTTTAAACCTTTAGGTTGAAGAACTGAAACCCATCCCCTTCACGTTTAATGAAGCTCCTGCATACAGTATGGCGTGTAGTCCTGAGAGCCTTTCGATTCAAGAACTTAAATCGGTTACCCTTACGCTCAAGAAAACTCCCATCTGTACGTCGTAACTCTTGCTAAAGCAAATGTTGATTTCTAGTACGAAAAAACTCCAACGATTTTCATTCGCCGTTAGATCTAAAGGTGGCTTTGATAAGCAAAGGTTAATTAATATAAAAAGACGAAATCCTACATAAAAATGAAGCGTACTCTCCCCGGCATACAATTCTAACAGAATGACGATCGATGCCGCCCAGTTTGCAAAACTTTCAAAGTCAGATGCTGTTTGTCTCATCCTTAAAGAAATTTGGCATATTACCACAGAACAATGTGGCAAATCTTTTACAGTTACCACTACAGTTATGAACAAAACGTTTTTGCTTACTTGAGTTGTCATAAGTTAAATAATTTTTTAAATTTTAAAGTAACTAGCCTACCGCATAGCGTAGTATAGCCCAGCAGATAGGAAACCAATAAATATATGTCCGGAGTCATTTCCTACCAGGGTAGATCGACCGTAGTTCAATTAAAATTTCCTTGTGACCACAGCTGCAGTCGATGCTCGATCGGTATATCACGCTTCACCCCACTTCGTCCGTGTCCTTCGTTTTCCATACTTCGCTCTACCTGAGAATATCAGTGTTTCCATACAGGCATGAAAGATCTTCACTGATTAACGGATCATTAAAAAAAAAAAAAATTTTACGGTGTCAAATATGTCGATTAAGTCGAATGCATAATTTCTTGTCACACAAATGCTTGGCAAAAAAAAACGAAAGCTTTCTCATTAGCTTTTAAGTTCTGATTTCGCTTTATTTCTTTTTTGCTTTATATTATTTTATTTCATCCGACACAACGTTCTCTTCTCAACTGGTTGACTTTAGCAGTTAATTGTTCAAATATTTCAGTTTATACGTAACAGATCGGTTAAATTACATTAACAGACTTACCAGTTTTATGATCTTAAGCATTTCTCCATAAAGAAATTCCTTGTCGTAGTCTAATTATAACGTCTTTGTGGTCGTGTGTCGCAGCTTAGTTTAAATATCAATGTAATGATGCTTAAGTAAATCGTTTTAATTGTTTATTTTTCTTCTTCTTCTGCTTTTATTGTTGTTTTAAAATAATTAACGCCAACTTTAGCACTATTACGTACACTTTTATTTTATTACACTTGATTAGCCACAAAAATTTTTCCTTGGAATTTTTTTTTTTTATATATATTTTTTTTCACACAATGCACTCAAATTATTATTCGCAGTCTTGCTTTCAAGGTAAAGGCTGTTATGTCAAAAGAGAGCAAAAAACAAAAACAAAAAATACTGAAAAGATATAAAATTAAATAAAACATAAAATAATTATTGACTTGAAAATAATCGGTAAAAAATAAATTTATTGATAAATAAAAAAAAAAAAAAAGGCATAACGAAAAAAACAAAAAAAGACATGTGGACTCAACTTCCAGGCAGTTTATGTGGTTACGTATAGGTGTCATTGACAAGGTTTTGTTTTTGTATTTTTTTCTTTTTTCGCTTTCTTATTTCTTTACGAATTCTTTTCTATTATTTTTTTGCCCGAGACGTTTATAAAAATAGGCCAGATTATAAGTTAAAAAGTTGCATTAAAGGCTAAATATAGATTTGAGTCATGAAAATGCTTTTACATTCACACAAGATCCTCTTTATATGTTTATATGTTTGTATGTACCATTTAAAGATACTGGTTAGTTACTGTGAACGGAAAGATGGACATGTACATAAATAAATATTGTAGAAGTAGAAGTATCTGGAAACCACTACATATAGAACCGGATATGTAGGCATAATGTGTGACTTGGTATGCACATAACGCTCTTGTTCTTTTGTTTTTTTTTATTATTATTTTTTTGTTTTCTAGTTTCTTAAACAATTTAGTTGTATTTGGTGGCAGGGATTATATATGCTTGCAGAGAGCATTTTAGTTTAGGTGGCCAATGGCACTAACCACGTACGTATGTAGAAATAAGTGTCCGAAAAAGCAACATTAACAAGCAACAGCAGCATCGGCATCAGCATCAGCGTCAGCATTCAACTTTATAAATCGCATATATGTATAGTCGAGATATAGTTATTGTGTTTATATAGAGCCATCGGTATGTACACATGTGCATTTAAATTGTATTTAGGAAGCCTTCAGTTTTACCAAAGATATATTAAGTTCTTGAGTTTTGTGTAAACAACGGATTTCTTAAAAAAAAGAAAAAAAAAAAAAAAAAATTAAAAAACAAAAATTTTAAACAAAATTTATTTGTAGTCCAAGTCCTCGGCAAATTTTAAAATAGTGAAATAATTTTAGTTTTTTTTTTTTTCTTTCGTTTGTTTTCGTTTTTCCTAAATCACTTACTATACAGTAGCAGTGTACATATGTGTTGTAACACAAAGCCGCCACCATCATTACTAAAACATTGGTAAAGCAATAATGTGTTGGTGGCTGGTTGTTGGCTGTAGGCCGGCTTACGTTTGCCAAGCATTCTTTGCATATATTAAAGAGCTTTAGTGCTTGTGTGTACATGAATTGTTTACATTAAACTTGGCTTTAGCTTTAGGTTGCGGATTTTTGTTAAACTTTAAGATTTAACTGCGTTTTCTATATAGAAAAAAAAAAGAAAAAAACACAACAATCATTTTGCTTAAATTTTCCTTATTGTTGTTGTACTCGATGTAGTAGTAACTTTTGTTGCTGTCTATGTTTAGGTGATTATTGTTGTTGTTGTTGTTGTTGTTGTTGTTATTGTTTCACATCCTCACTTACACATGGCATAGCAAATTTGCATGTACAACAATTTGCTATTCGTCTGACTTAAGTGCCACACCATTAATACGAGTAAGAATACGAGATTATTTTTAAGCCTACATAGGTATATATACATATATCTATATATATATGTATATGTATACATTTATAGGCATGAATGCATGCATGCATGCATGGAAACTGTTCGCTATGCGCTGTGCTGCTGATTTGATTGGATTGAATTGAATTGAATTCATGCACGATGCCTTTCTTGTTTGTACGTGTGATTATGCATATATAATATACATATCGTACATTGTACTACGTACTACGTTCATATATCGTTTTGGTGTGTAAATGTAGTTGCTTAATGTTTGTTATTTAATTGTTGTTGTAATCGTTTTATATTGTTTGTGCTTTTTTTTTATTTGTTGTTCTTACTGCTGCTGTAGCTGTTGTTAAACTTTATTTATTGCTTACATTTACATTTAAGCCAATTGATTGAAATGACTTTGTTGTAGAAAATGTTTCTTTTTACTTTGTTTACATGTCTTTAATTAATCTGCTATGGCTTAAGATTATTATAAGACCAAAAGTATACGCAATCAGTAAACAGAAGGGCGACAAAAATGACTTAACTTAATTTTTCACATTTGCTTGGCCCTTTCAGTACGTTTGCAAATTTTATTCTACCTGTAATGTTAGGGCTGTCAAGACTGATTCTATTGCTGTCTTCGAGTTTTTTTTTTTTTTTAACTTAATTTCCCAAATAAAAGGTGGCATGTTTTGGCAAAATTCAGATTTAACTTGAAATGTTACAAGGCTAGCTAGAGACAGGCCTCGCGGCAAAAAATTCACGCCATATATCCAAGATTACAGAACCACTGATCTGCTAAATCTGACAGCGCCAATCCGAACCAGTACTACTCGGGTGGATAGAAGTTTGGAGAATACGCCATCAACAGTAGATGTTCCCGAAACAAATTCAAGATCACTTCCATTCGTTTCTCTCGACGAGGAACGTATGCGATTTCTTATCGTCTTTTGCACGAAATCTTCCATTCCACTGTCTAAGTACTTCATAGCGTACCGCTCTTTTAGTACAGACCAATGTAATCAATTCAATGGCTGGAACTGTATTTTATTTCCAATTTAAAAAAATAAAATCCACCGCCGCAAAAGGCGTCCATTTCCTTACGCATTAATAGAAACTTAATAAGAGCTTGTAAGCAATTTAGGAGAATTTAGGAGAAAATGAAGACGTCATGTACACATAGTACACTTTTCAATTTACTCAAGCCTTCAGTAATTTTTAGTAGAAAAAAATTCTTTTTTAATTGGTTTCTAAATGGATAGACCTTTAATTCCTTTGAATGGACGGGTAATTAAATTGCCAAGTTTTCCTAACCGAGATGCATTGCTGAGTATGAAGCCGTTGAGGGATGTGTAACCATGCAGGCACAAATGTCGCTTATTTTTAATATGATGTCTTTTTGTCCTTGCAGAAAAGACCTTGCAATGAATATCTTTTTCCTATGACAGGCTTTACTGTAAAAAGCCATGCGTAAATTTGCTTCTTCTGATCTGTTTCTTTACATAACGAAATTTATCAAAACGTTGCTTGTGCATTGACTTGCACATTTTGCTAGGATCTAAGAGGTCGTACATTTTCTCTCAAAGCTGCTAATGTATCCTGGTATTATTTTATAATACATCATTCAAAGTTGTCATATTTAAAATTCACCTCTAACAGATGCTTTAACATCGTCGCTTTTCAGCAGCAATGGTTTCTTTGGAGCTAACGCTATACCGTGTGTTTTTAATTTATTTTTCCTATCCCTGATAACATAAACAAGAAATGATATCCTGTTTTCCCACATTTGGCGTATAATGAAAGAATTAAGAAGAGCAACCATCAAGACCCTGTTCCAATTTCCAGGGCGGCAGACCACATTTTAATCAAAATTGATTTATGGTCGTAGTTACAGTGATTGTTTCGACGCTAATGGGATAACTTTTACCGATCGTTCGTACTTGTTGTCGGCCAATTTTCTATCTGCCTCTCCCTCCCAGATTCTTGCCGCCCACTATCGTGTTGCACACCCCTTGGATGATTGCTCATGTTAAATAAGAAAAACTGCTGGTCTCAGTCACTTATTGCATTGTTTACCTTCAAGTTTTTTCAATGCTCTTCGAGGCGATCCTCTTCGAAGCTAAAGATCGCATATTTTAATATACGGGGCGGCTTCACTAATAAGGTTTCAAACTTTGATAGCAACGTAAGCAAAGGCAGTAAATATCGCTTTCATCAAATGTTCACTGTGACCGGAACCGTCGCCTCTTTGTAAAACCGATAAAGACTGATTTTTACACTTGATTGCCAGAGACTTTACGTCACTACCGAAATTTTCGCAGTCATCTGGTGTCCCCATAAGCACATTTACAAAAAAAAGTATAATTTACTTAAAATGCAAACTTTAGGGCGAACATAAAAACATTTTCATACGAGGCAGTGATTACAAAAACAAATTTAGTCGCACATTATTAGCATTAGGAGAGAATGTATTTTGCATATTGCGTATGTTAGTTACTGGAGTACTGAAATTTCATTATCAATAATGAATAATTAAAAGGATTGAAGTTAAAATCCTTAAAATAATCAAAAGTTTAAATAATTTTTTTTCCCATCGAAAACAATAATTATAAATAATAGAATATTTGTCGTGGCTGTCAAAACACTCACCATTTGCTAATAATAATAATATGTATATATACACATACACGTTCAACTAAACATGGTTAGTGTTCAATGAATCCCCTTTGATATCAGAATAGTGCAGCAACCGATGTTAATTGTAATAATAATAACAATAACAATAATAATAATAATAATAATAATAATATTGAAGATGATCAGTAATGCAGCAATATAACTATAATGATAATGTTGGCTAACACACAAATACTTTGCTCGCGCAAGCATATACACAAAAACACCTAAACACATGCATACACACATTAACACATATGTACTTTTGAACGCTGCCACCGTTACCGTCAATAACCGAATGATCGCTTACGTTATAAATAACGTAACATAACGCAACGTTATATAAAACACTTAAACGTATATATACTAATGTAGCTTAACTAAGCAACGGTTAGATATTCAAACCTATAACATTGATATTAAAATAAAAACATAAATTATAAACACTTACACTTAAGCAAACACCGGTTTTTCTCCTCACCTCTTACCATATCATCACGTTTAAATCGCTCAATTCTCTTAATGGCTTAGAAAAAGATGGCTGAGGAGAGGTTGTTTTGAATTATTTTTATTTCTTTTTTTTTGTTAAGCATTTCAGCTAATGCTAAGCATTACACACTTATGCACTTATACTGTTACACTATAAACATGAAGATACCGATTACTACTTACGAGCTTAGAATTAAGCGCTTTTCCACGACTTGTACTTCACACACGAAATCTAAAGCAAGACTAAACTTAACTTATGACAAAATGTTATTATTAATAAGAAAAATTGCAATGCAATGCAATGCAATGCAATGCAATGCAATACAATGCAATGCTTAGAAATGGTACTAAGAAGCATGGTCGGTTGAAAAAACTGACCACAGCTTTACTTTAATCTATTTCTCCCTCTCTTTCGCTCTCTTTCTCTCCGCTATTTATTATTTCCTTCCTATTCTCTGGCTCAGTTCGCTTAAAAAGGTAGCAAAGTCTCTCAAATGGTATGAAAAGTCTGATAGCAGTTTTGCTTGGTTTTTGGCCTAACAGAGCACTCGTTGCACTTATGTTACTGCTACCGCTGCTGCATTGCTCCGATTTCACCATAGTTGAACTTGACCAAATGCACAAATCATTAAAGACTTGGCTTAGTGCACCACGGTAGGATTTGAAGGTAAACAAGCAGCGAATATCGTGAACTGGAAAGGAGAGCCAAAGAGGCAAACAGCCAAAGAGTCACAAGTACTCATTTATAAACAAAACCCATTTCCAGTTTTCTCAATTATCAGTAAACTGGAATTGATTTTTTTAGACAAATACTAACACGTCGCTGAATTGTTTACAGTTTTCCTTTATAATTGTGTGCGTAAAGCTATGCACTGTGTTTTCAAAGTGTTCAACTCACGTGATTGTTGTTTTTCTTAAGGACTAATACTGAGTATATTTTATTTTACTTGATTTTATTCATTCTTTGTTTCTTTCTTCTAATAATCGTTTTGTTTATTCTTCTATTGGTTTGTTTGTTTACTTAAATGTAATATAAACAAACGTATGCATTAAATTATGTAAAAATCATATAAAAGACCTAAGAAACAAACTTGTGCAGATATAGTTCCACGTCATAAATTTCAATACATTTATGCATATTTGCTTTCTAATAGCAAAACTGTTTGTCGGTAAAATTTTACGACATAAAAATGCCTTAAGGGAACTCCTGCGAAATAAATATTTACAACCGTCATTATAAGTGTTCGCCGCATACTAAAAGTAGAAGAATAAGAATAAGAAGAAGAAGAAGAGAAAAGGAATAAATATTCATCCATTCGATAACATTGTTGCTAACAACTATGACACCTTGACTAAGAATCGAGAAATCTATACGATGCGACACAAAGTAAACACAAATTTGCAATCGTAAAATTTTTGATTAAATATTAGCCTGAAGGTAATAAAATCCTTTTGATTTATATGCCGAAGAATACAAACTCGCCTCGTAGGGATAACTTCTGAAAAGTCAAAGAAAACACAAAACCAGGTTTGACTTCAAATGGCTGACGTTCATTAAGATTAAAAGAAACGAAAATGAATTTAAAAAAATTCTAAAGAACATGCTCTTGAAAGTTTTGAAAACATGAAAATTTACGACAGTTTAACTATTGAGCTTCCAACACCATCATCATGAGCAGCATTCGCTAAGAGTGTGTTTAAAGTTTCAATATTACCATCGAAACCGATAACTATTCTCTTGTTTTGCACCGACACTGAAAGCAATTAAATAAACCATGCTACGTTTCTTCTAGGGGCGGGTTGTAAACGTATCCTTGCTAACGTTGACGACGTTAATATTATTGGCCAAAGCAATAAACAACCAATGTTAAACTTCGTCCCAGATATGAGCAATAACGTGGTACCACCGTCAAAGGTTGCTTCATTAAATTCTCATTCATTTTCACCTTTTAAATATTTTTGGCCTTGTCAGTACCACCTTAATTTGATATACTTTCTGTTTTATATACGAACATGATCTTCTTTTTCTGTTGTCTTTCTTCTTTGACGATCCTGTCAGTATATATGGCAGAAAGTCTTTGTACGCAATAATTCAGAATGTGCTCTACAGTAATAATACAACACTCAACAATTTGGTGATGTGACGTAGGCAAGTCGCTACTATTGACGAATTCGTATTGACACTATATTAAATTTAGTTAGTACACTTATGATCGGAATAGTGGCTTTTTAAGAATCGATTATGTCCAAGACTCGTATGGATTTCGTCAATAGCCATCTTCTCCATGTCATCCTACGGGCTTTGTGAGTAGTGTTTTATGTTGAAATCTGTTTACTTACACGCCTGAGCTGTTTCGAAAGTCTAACATGCTTCACAGGCGTAAGCATCTCATTGTATAATTATAAGGCTGCCGTTCACACCTAGTAGGCTGCGGCCGTCTCCGTGTTTCGCTTGCTGGCCCATTATGTTGCGTATAGAGAGGTCAACTAAGTGATCGGTAAAACTAAAACAAAAAATAAATAAAATCCTAAATAAGGCGTTGGAAACATTATTTTATAAGCAAAGCTAAGAGGAAACGTCCTAATTTAGAAGGTGACGTCATCTTTTGTGGATTTCGTTATGCGTTTGATGTACTTCTTTGATTTGCGATACTCCTCCGCTGCTTACGTACGTAGGGAGCAGACTTTACGATTTCATAGAGCTAATCCGTAACAAAGACCGAGAACTTTTTGATAAATACACTTTAGGCTAATCCCATTGAGCTTATAGATATGTATAAAGGGTACCTCAAAGCTTACGCAAGGTTTGAATTTTATAGAAAACAGGGTTATTTTATTTAATTCCAACTTTTTCTATTGCATCTTAAAGTACGTAGAATAGAGTTATGTGTGGAAGATTACATCGGGCAAATGACCTTTGCGGCTTTGCTGGCTCTTTTGTTTGAAATTCCGATCACCAAAACGAGAAAGTACTCCACGACCAGGACGCGCCTCTTGTTGAAATCACTTGTTGTTCGCATCAATATCATCCAATTTAGGCAGAAAGAACTACGTTATCGCAGCGCGATATCGATCATCAATAACAGTCAGTTGCTAGAGTAGTCTTTTATTATGTTTGAAGAATGAAATTGCGTTGCTCTCTCATGTAATGCTTCATTCTTAGTAATCCTAAATTGTAAGCTGTGAAAGTGCTTGGAAGAATTGAAATTATGGAGAACTAATTGCAGTTCAATTGAAAACTAAGTTTGATCCATGTAGGCTACTGCGGCGCTAAACATCCAAAGAAAAAGTACGTTTTTGTCAATAATTTAAATTACTTAACAAACATTTACTCTCCCTCCTTCTTTCTTCCTGTCGTAAAGATCTTATAACTGTTGCCACAATTAAAAAGAGCTAAGGTCTCATCCATCAGTAGAAGTCTTCGACACTCACTTCGGCCTCACTTTCTTCCCATTTAATCAAGTAAAAGAAAACGCATTTAATTATAAAATGCTTTATGGTTTTAAGTATTCAATCAAGTTGTAGAAAATAAAAATTTAAGATCGAATCTCCGAATATGTGCTTATTTACATATATTACGCTGTGCTGTTCCCTTTTAATTAAAGTCTCCTTTGTTTAGTCGTTTTAATGCGTGGAATACATTTTTCTGATTATAACACTTTCGCTTTTTGCTTTTATTTCGTTTTATTTTCGCATTAATGTAACTTGTATCCTAGTTTGTTTGATGTGCGTTGTATCCAGCCCCCCAACAGGTATACATGGTATTTATTTTTTGTTTTTGTTTTTATATCAACCATAAAATCATATCTTGATACGCATTTAATTCGTCGCATCCAGCTCGAGTTGGCCTTTTTCATGTATCACATGTCCGAAACTATGACATACATAAATATATACATTTGTGTGTATATTTACGAATGTAGCACAGCTTAAAACTGTCAAAAGTGTCAGTGGGTACAACAAGTGAGTCCACGCAAAAAAAGGCATATAAATGATATATAAAAAGGTTTTCGTACTGAAATACATGCTAGGAACACATACTAATATAAGTAGAATAGCATTAAGGGAGAAAGAGAAGGAAAAATATTTTATTTTTTTTTTGCTTTTTTTTTTTTTTAAAAGAAGCTCAACTGAATCAATGGATTAACCATAATAAGTCGTGTAGATTAATGCTATTGTAGGAACACATGTTTATTATGTTATACGAGTTCGTGCAAAAGCTTGAATCTCCCCCACCCAGACTTATTATATTTTGAAAATTAATTTTGACTGGTATCTGCCTTACCGTGTGTGATTTTTCTTCACTAAATGTAAAAAAAAAAAAAAAAAAAAAAAAAAACATAAAAACGTATGGGATCATATAAAGAACTGAGCATAGCATAGGACGATAGCGTATAGTTAGTAGTGATGGTTGATCGTAGTCTCATCACACTACCTTTAACATTTTATTTTAATTATGGCTTTTGGCTTTTCCTGTTCGGTCATGGTTCTTAATTGAATTCTATGAATTTGAGCCAGTGTATTTCTACCATACTTTCCATATGTACATACGTATATATATATATATATATATTAGGTTGTTCGGTAAATCCTTTCGTTTTTTTCCAACACAGAAATAAATTGTATTATTACACGGCCAATTTCACACTTACGCGGCCGCATTGTCATTACATGTTTTAATGGATGATAAAGATGGAATTGTTTGCAAAACAGTTGGCTTGATTCCGCGCAATATTTTCGTGTTCGATGCCCTATCAAATATGGAAAGTGAAAAGCATGTTTTAATTTTTTATTAAAGAAATGGTAAAAATGTTGTTCAAGCAAGATAAAAGTTATTGGATATGTATTGGAAGTATGCAATGACAAAACGCCAGAGCTAAAAGTGCTTTTGCAAAATAAAAGTAAGACTTTAATTAATAAAATTAAGACTATACTGGATGCAAACCACTACCTATGGAATTTAACCACTCATGAGAAAATATTTACATAATATAAGAAAATCGACTTTTATTTCCACCGATTTTCCAAATTTCCGATGACCGAATATATATAAATCTCCAAAAAGTTGACAAGTAACATAACTTAACTCATGTATACATATGGATTTTTTGAATATTCAATCGATTTTATTACAATTTATTTAATTATTTAGAAAACCTAAAAAATCATATGCGCTTAACCTTAATCTTGCCACGCGATGACTTTGAAATGTATGTGGGTTGTGTATAATATTTTATGT